GTGAATGTGCAAATTCACTCCCTGACATTAGATGGCACTTAATGAAAAACAGAAATACCCGATCTGCAATTCCTCTCCATAACAACTCCCTCTTATCGAGATTTTTGTTGTCGCTGTCGTGTTTGTCATAAAACCCTTTGTGTTCAGACACCAATGAGACCAGCAGCTCTACATTCATCTTGCCTCAATGCATCTTCTTCGTCTACTTACTTCCTCTGATGTGAAAATGTAAACAACATGTAGTAATGTAGTAACAACTTAGTACTTCCAGGAGTAAAAGGCAAACAGGTTTTTATTCAGTCCACTACCCATATCATTCATTTCTGTAGAGGTCACCACTTTAATAAGGATCGATTGAGTTCAGCTTTGGGAACAGAAACCAACCTGTTTGGTCCTCAGTATCTTCTTGTTTCACTCTGAATGTTTCTTCAATCTTCATGTTTTCACTCTCCTCCTTAATAAACGCCATCTTCATAATCACAATAGTACACATGGTATAACACATGGATCTCAACTGCTTCACCAGGAGTTTTTCTGTATGTTTTGACACTCTGTCATGTTTAAGATGAGAATAATTGACAGAAAGAAAAAAATAATCCAATCTAAATCTCTGGGTGCGTCTCAATCAGCTCCCTTGTTCAGTAGTCAGTCAGTGCACTGGCAAGTGCTACTTAATAGCCTTTAATAGATAGTTAATGACCTTTAATGACCTGATTAGCCAAAAACACTCAAAATAAGCATTACAAATTAATAAAAGAACACAAATCACACACTTCATATTTGGTATATGATTTGTAGATTACATTTAAAAGATTACACTTAAAAGAAAACATTTTAAGTTGGTTTGTAAAAGTCGTCATTACACTACTTGTGCTTGTGTTCTCTTGCAGTGATTCCAGCAGTTCTAGTCAGAATCATTTCATGAAGCAATTGATTCAATTGACTCGAAGTTTCAAAAAGTTCAGTTTCTCCATCACTACTTGCCGGAGAATACACTGTGAATACTGTTAACTATTAACTAAATCACGATATGAGAAGTTAAATGAGATGCATCTATACTCATACATGGATGTGCTTTACTCACACAAAATAATGTTTATTATTGTTAGATAAAGCATCACAATGTTATAATTTAATAATAATTCATTAATTTAACACTGCTTGTAAACCCCATAAAATAGACTGAATGCTTTGTTTCGTTACGATGCAAACACTTTAAAAGCTTAAAATCACAAACCTTATTTTAGCCGAATAAAACACAGGAGCGTGGTGCAGTCGTGTGACGTCACATCGCCAGACCAAAATAAAAGTCCTGCCATAAACTTTGTCTTAAATTACAATATATTGAAATATAAGATATACAGTATATATCAGTCTAAAAAAAGCTGGTTATGCAATTATTAATAATAATAATTAAGGATGCACCGATACCACTTTTTCCAGTACTCGCCCGATACCGATACTTTTATTTTTGGTACTTGCCGATACCGATATTTTTATTGCATTTGTAAATTTTTTAAATATTGGGTACAGAAAGCAAAATATTATGTGTAATGTTATTTGGTTAACTTCACTTAGCCTTAATGACAGCCTGTAGTCTCCTGGGCATTCTGTCATCCAGCTTCATGCAAACCTGAACTTCATTTTTTCCCCCAGACTCGGTCCGATTAATTTTTGGTCCCAAATTTGTATCAGTTTTACTGGTGTCACAATACGCTGGAGCAAGGGAACGAGGAAGTGTCCTGCACCCACTAGTAAAAAAAAATATAAAAAATTATATCTGGTCTCTGAAGGATATACAGTTAAACCCAAAATTATTCAAATCGTACAAGAAGAAGATGTAAATTTCTATGCACTTTAGTGTTTTCAGACAGCAGCGCGTGGTCAGGACTTTTATTTTGGTATGGCACTGTGACGTCATAAGACTGCGTCGCGCTCCTGGGTTTGTTGTGATCCGGCTGAAGAAAGGTTTGTGTTCTAAAGCGTGAATGCTGCGATTTGACAATTAGAAGAAAGAAAGAAAGAAGAAGAAGCAGCAGCAGCAGCGTGTAAGGTATTTAAACATGTGGCTAAAATGTCTATTCAATTTTATAGCGTTTACAAACCACGTAAAATTGAATATAGCAGTGCAATGCTTACATTAAGAAACGTTGTTTGATGTGAGTAAAGAGCATCAGTATATAATTAATAGGTTAAAAGGTGCGTCTCATTTCGCTCCCCATCTCGAGAACCGGTTTACAGTAAACACGAATTAGGTCACTGGCAAGTACTGACGAGAGAAACGAGCTTTTTGAAACTTGAAGGCACAATATGTAAGATTTTTTAAAATAAAATATCCAAAAACCACTTGAACAGTGTTAAATATTTTGCTGACTTGTGTACTTACATTATCCCAAATGTTTCGAAGAATGTTTAAATCCAGAGAAATAAGCAATTTTAACTAGTGACACGGACCGTGTCCATAGTGTCATTGTGTCGCCTGCCAATGACGTCATAACCCCTCGATTTCCGGTTTTGTCACGCTCGTTCAGCGCCTCGTTTCGCTTCGACGGCTTTCAGCCTCACCCTGCTTCATTCTACTACGTTAATAAATCATTAGCTCATCCATGAACATGATTTCTGCCCGAGTCCCGTCGGATTGCATCGGCTGTGGGGATGA